CCGCTACATGGAGCGCTAATCCTTTAGGACTTGTAAAATTATATCTGCCATCGCATTTCCTATTAGGCCAGCGCACATTGTCTACCGCTACATGGAGCGTTAATCATATAGGACTTGTTAAATTGTATCTGACGTCACGTTTCCTATTAGACCAGCGCACACCCTCTGCGATCGTCTGCAGACATCCATTGCAATGCATTATCGTTGTCATTTTTTGAGGTTGATTGGTGGTTACAGGTGGTGCAAAAATTTTGTAATATTTCTCATCTCGTTTTATTATTTCTGTATAGTAGTAGAACACACTTTACAAAAAGTACCTTGGTTTTAACAGTAACCTTCTTTACTGCCACTAATATTTTTTTCCTGTTACGTTATAGTAGAAACACCTATTACACAGGCCTACAATTTTTTGTTTTTGTTTTGGTGCAGTTCCGTTCTTATCTGTAGTTGGTAAGGTTGTTGATATACTATTAATCACGAATATTTATTCTCACGAGTCAGTTCGAGTTTAGTACCAATCGTTGTTTTTTAAGTTTTACGGTCCTACGTGGCAATATTTAAGTTTTACGGTTGTACCGGAGAAAAAAGTGGTTTTATTCCATGATGGCTAGTAAGATGAGGCGTTGTATTAACGACCCTGATAAATTTTGTTACGTTTGTGGTGAATACATTCTCAAAGATCAGCGAAAAATGATATCAGATAATGTAATTCGCCTTTATTTTGCTTATTTTGGTATTGAAATTCACGATCAGGATAAATCATGGGTGCCTCATATTGTGTGTAAAATGTGCACTGAACATCTGCGACAATGGGCGAATGGTACAAGGAAATCTTTAAAATTTGGAGTGCCTATGATTTGGAAGGAACAAAAAAATCATCACGACGACTGTTACTTCTGTATGGTAAATATAGTGGGGATCAACAAGAACAATCGCCATAAATGGAAATATCCTAATGTATCTTCAGCGAGAAGACCAACTTCCCATTCAGAAGATATCCCAATACCAGTTTTTAGGCAGCTATCCGACTCTCAGGAGGGAGAAGTTCAAACATCTAGTGTTTCAAATATGAGCGACTATTCTGAGTATTGCGACGAATCTGTCAATCCGAATCCCATACCATTTTCACAAAGTGAGCTCAATGACCTCATCAGAGACTTAGATCTTTCGAAGGAGCGGGCCGAGTTGTTAGCATCAAGATTAAAGGAAAAGAATTGTGTAACCTCTGATGTTAAAGTTACTCTATATCGGAGAAGAGAACAAGACTTATTGCAATTTTTTTCTTCTGATGAAAATTTGGTATATTGTAGCAATGTAAACGGCCTATTAACTTTCATGGGCTTGGAGGTATATCAGGCAAGTGATTGGCGTCTTTTTATTGACAGTAGCAAACGGAGTCTGAAGGCTGTTCTTCTACATAACGGCAATAAATATGCTTCCATTCCAATTGCCCACTCCACTACTATGAAAGAAGAATATCAGACAATCTCCATACTTCTACAGAAAATAAAATACGTTGAACATAACTGGGTGATATGTGTTGACTTGAAGATGGTTAATTTTTTGTTGGGTCAACAGAGTGGCTATACAAAATACCCATGTTTTATTTGTCTTTGGGACAGTCGAGACAAATCAAGACATTGGATCCAAAAAGAGTGGCAAGCACGAGATAGTTTAGTTGTTGGTGAGAAAAATGTTATTAAAGAGCCTTTGGTGCCTCGAGAAAAAATTATCCTTCCGCCCTTGCATATAAAATTAGGACTTATAAAGCAGTATATCAAGGCGCTGGACAAAAATGGTCCTTGTTATAACTTTATCTGTCAAAAATTTCCTGCAGTAAGTAGTGAAAAATTGAAAGCAGATATTTTGGATGGACCTCAGATTCGTTTGTTAATGAAAGACTCTGCCAATTTTGAAAAGTGTATGACAGATATTGAACGACTTGCCTGGAAATCATTTGTAGCTGTTACCAATAATTTTCTTGGAAATGTTAAGGCTGCAAACTATGAAGAGATTGTTACTGAAATGCTTCATAACTTTCGAAATTTAGGCTGTCATATGAGCATAAAAGTACACTATCTCCATAGCCACATAGATCAATTTCAACATAATTTGGGAGATCTCAGTGACGAGCAAGGAGAACGCTTTCATCAAGACATAAAAAACATTGAAAAAAGATATCAAGGGAGGTGGGACATCCATATGATGGCAGACTATTGCTGGGGTCTTGAACGTGATTGTCCAACACGAAAGTTTTCGAGAAAATCACTTAAAAGACAATTTCTTGATGTAAAAAATTGAAATAGAACGATTTTTTCGTAAAATTGCATTTTTTTTTATATTGCATAAACTAAAGCTGATGGGAGAAAAACAATAGTGGTTTTCCAATCACATTATTAGGCATACCCAAAATTAGGTCTCACATCTCTGGCACCAAATTGAGTGTAGGCCTGTGTTATTAATGAGTATATTTTCTACCGCGGTAAAGTGCTTGCCTGCAACTATGAAAACGTTGTCCATAAGTTTTTTTTATTATTACTGCTGGAAAGAATTCCACTATTACAAAAAAAGTTAAACTCTGAGTTGTTTTATTAATTATTATTAAAAACCAACCCAATGTCAAAAGTCATGTAATAGCATGGTTGGCAATATAAGCGTAGTTTTTTAATTTACGTGCGCTGGTCTAATAGGGAACGCGACGTCGGATATAATTTAACAAGTCCTAGTCCTACAAGAGTAGCGCACCATGTAGCGGTAGACAATGTGCACTGGCCTAATAGGAAACGCAATGCCAGATATAATTTTACAAGTCCTAAAGGATTAGTGCTCCATGTAGCGGTAACCAAATAGGAAACGGAAAAATGCTACCGGGCCTGTGCACAGACTTCTTGTCTCTTGCAGGGTAAAAATACTATGTAATTTACTGTACTATACACCTGGAATAAATGAATTTGAATGAATTTGAATTGATACATGTAATCATAAAATATTTGGGTAGCTGCCTCGACGTCATTAATCAAATAAAAGTCACTCCAGTCAAGAGCAGACAAGTATTCATTTATTGAATAAAAATCTGCTCCTCTAAAATCATAAATGCAATCCTCATACCCAACCTTGCACTGGAAATAACCAACCGGAACCTCAAATTCGTATGGCTTATGCTTGAAACTCTCCTCAAATAGTGGATCGAGAGGTACATTTACAGAAATTGTGGAAATTTTTGAGAATAAGAGATCCAAAAAGGTACCATGCCTGTTGGGTACCTGGTTGCACTGATAAAAACCAAGATATGCAAAAGAATGACAAATTATATTAGCATTAGAGTTATCATTCACTGGTACCGAAAAATAAACACCACTATGATCATTGGCCCAAATGGCCTTTCTTAGATTATAATCACCAATCAACACTGGCACACATTGAGGATTTTGCGGAATGATTTCCTCTACAATTGAACAGTGCATCTCGTAGGATTCACGAGGAGATTCAGGAGGAATGTAGATAGCACCAAACACAAATAACTCTTCATTCACTATGACTTCTACGAAGAGCTGCTCCATTTTATTCAGGTTACAGCTTCTCAAGAGTTTGGATGGTAAGTTGCTCCTGACAGCCACAAGCACTCCTCCTCCAACTACATTATGATCTAGATGTTGTAAATGGTCCTGTCTATAAACACTATAGCCTTGTGGGTCAGTAGTAGAAGGATTGAAATTAATATAGATGTGAGGTAAAATGTGGTTCAATATCATTTTGGAAAAAATCAAGCTCTAAAAAAGGACATTGAGGGAAGTTTTATTTGAGAAAAGTTTGAAGGATTGAATTGAAAATGCAAGTGGATGAAAAAAAGATTGAAATTAAGGAAAAAATGGAGGAATATTTTGCCAAAACTGTGGAGAATTTAGAGGAATTTGTAAGGAATTTGGAAGAATATGTGGGGAGCTTGAAGGAATTTATGGGAAATTGGAGGAATGTATGAGAAGTTGGGGGAATTTATTGGTTTCAACATTGAGCGTAATAAAAACAGAAAAATATATTTCTTATCACGAACAATTTTGGGGATTTTTATAGAATTTGTAACAGGCATTTGGCATTTGCATGAAATTTGCAAGCAGTTTGGAGGAATTTGCAGGTAGTTTAAGGAATTGTTTGCACAAATTTGGAGGAGTGGCTTATCCTTTGTTTGAGATCATTATTGAACCAGGGCTGGGCCTCTGTAACAAATAGAGACATTTTCTGTATCTCTATTGACATCTCCTCTTTATTGATTTCGACAAGAGAGAAGAAGACAGCTAGTGCCATAGCGATAGGGATAACGATCTCTAACCATTACAGAGTTCCAGCCCAGTTTACATAGGATTAGCTTTATTTTACAAGTCTTCTAAATTCTGTCAAAATTCTAATTTATGCCACTCATAGCCGTTTTCACCAACTACTTATTTTAGGGAAGCCTCAATGATAAGTATTCCTTAAAATGACAGTCTTCCATAGAGAAATGAGATCAGTTTAGTTTGAGATTGAGGAATACTTATTGTTAAGGCTTCCCTAAAATAGTTGGTGGAAACGGCCATCAGTCCCGTTTTTTCTTCGGTTTTTTCATTTGAGTTTGAGGTTAGCATTTTCATTTTAATTTTTTTACTGAGGCAAAAAACATCAATAGTCGAGCAATAGTCAATATCCGCTTCTAAATTGATACAAAAACAGCTTTATAAAGGAAAAATATACTTGGGAAATCAAACAAACTAAAGTTAGCTTGGAGTTCATTGATTTTGTATTTGAAAATAAATTTGCTAGGTAGGTACTTTCCTCAGTAACCACCTTTCCAGTTACTTTGCTTTGGAGTTTTGAAATTTCTACTAATGTTTGGACTTGACTGCATATAATGGATAATTTATGAAAAGATACTGTAACCGTAAGGAAAGTTCAGGAGAGCAAATATTTGTGAAGGCAAACAAAACAAATAGGTAACTAAAATAGTGTAGCATTGCAGCAGAACTCACCCCCTTTTTTTTCTGAGCCTGCGATGGAGAATCCGCGTTGGTGGTGTCGTTGAGATAGCCTCCGCCGCCTCCGGGGCCAAAACCTTAAGAAAAGACATACCTTGTATTTTGAGATAAATCTTAAGGGAAAATCCGAGGGTTCATAACAAAAGTTGCATACCTGGATTCCAGCCACTCATGTTGAAAGCTCTTCCTTAATTCTGATGTTCTTGGATTTGTAATAAAATTAAAATATTTATACAAATAACAAATTAAATTATGGAAAACAGAAATCACAAAATTCACCAAGCACCAAAGCAGCAAGCAAAAATGCAATAACCGACCAACTGCAACTGATAACCAAAATAAAATAACAACTTTACCGCCAAAAATGACACATTGACCATTGACTAGACTTTTGACAAGACAGATGGCAAACGATTGACAGCTACAGATGGGCTGTTCTAGCCGCTTTCCACTATGCACAATGGCGCGCTCTGGCGCACTCTAGAGCACCTCGGGGGCGCCACGCACTAGATTTGTACCGTTCCAGTATCATGGCGTGAGACGCCTGTCTTAGTGTCAAATATGTCAAATTTTAAAAATAATTATTTGTTTGTGTAAATTGTTTTTTTATTTATCAAAAATGAAAGAGAAATAAAACTATATTTTATAAAATGTTCAATCTTGAGATATAACAAGAAATAAATAGATAAATTTTGGAAGTTTCAACAAAAATGTGATGGAGGCTATAGAGCAGTATATACCAGTTAAGTCGGTTAAAATAAATCACCAGAAACCATGGATAAATCAACATTTGTTTGGAGAAATAAATAGAAAACGCAAATTATGGGATAAATACAGAAGTAACAGAACAATTGAAAATTATCAAGTATATACTGCTCAAAATAACAGACTGAAACAAAAGCTTACTCAAGCCAGAACAAAATTTGAACATGGACTGGTTAAAGATAAATCACAAAAGAAGATCTTTAAATACATCAGCAAAAACTTAAATTCAAAAGTGACAACTATATCTCTGAAAGATTTAACTACGCTTGAAGTGCTAGACAACGAAACCACAGCCAAGACCTTTGCAGAACAATTTAACAAAGCCTTTTCACAGGAAACCTTTGCAATGCCACCACTCCCTGTTTGCACTAGAGCCCAAAACTCAATTGATACAATGCACTTTACCGAGGAAAAAGTGAGTGGCGCATTAAAGAGAATGAAAACAGACTCAAGCCCAGGACCAGACAACATACCAACGATCTTCCTAAAAAATTGCAGCAATTCATTAAGCTCACATCTGGCAGAAGTGATGAATGAATGTATGGAAACCGGTGCTATCCCTAAGGAGTGGAAACAATCAATAGTAACACCAATTTTTAAAAAAGGAGATAGGCACAAACCAGAAAATTATCGTCCAGTCAGCTTAACATGTAACCCACTGAAGTGCATGGAAAAAATCATTGTTGAGGAACTAACAGCCTTTTTCCAAACTAATGATCTTATTCCCACATCCCAACATGGTTTTCTTCCAAGGCGCTCCACAACCACAAATTTGCTAGAATGCCTAGACGATTGGACAGCAAACCACGATAAATCGCAGCCTACTGATGTGGTGTATCTTGACTATGAAAAGGCGTTTGACAGAGTCCCACATAACTTACTTATTGGCAAATTAGAGCACTTTGGAGTACGAGGACAGCTGCTAACGTTAATAGCAGATTCACTTAATGAAAGACACTACAAAGTCAGAGCTAATGGAGTATTGTCCAACCGGCATCCAGTGAGCAGCGGAGTTGTCCAGGGCTCGGTCCTGGGACCTTTACTCTTTACTGTTTACCTCTTCGATTTGGTTGACATCATACAGTGTTCAATGAAAAACTTTGCAGACGATGGAAAACTGTACATTAATCCACTTATTGGTGCCCATTTACTTAAAACAGACCTAGAAAATATTGAAAGCTGGTCCAGAACATGGGGGATGAAGCTAAACGCATCAAAATGTACAGTGCTTCGAATTGGGCCAAACAATCCAAACACACAGTATACTCTTAATAACACGACCCTCACATCAGTGAAAGAACAGAATGATCTAGGAGTCATTATAACATCTGATCTGAAATGGGAGACACATATAAAGAAAATAACGAAAAAAGCAAACTCTTTTGTATATCTCATAAAGCAAGCTTTTAGGGACCATTCAGTGGAAATGATAACGAAGCTGTACAAAAGTTACATAAGGCCAAAAGTTGAATATGCATTTACTGTGTGGAATCCCTATTATATAAAGGACATTGAACTCCTAGAAAGGGTTCAGAGAAGAGTTACAAAAATTCCTCTAGAACTTAGGTCCTTACCATATACAGAAAGGTTAGAAAGGCTCAATCTTACAACCCTTAGAGAGAGGAGACACAGGGGAGATCTAATAGAGACGTTTAAAATAACTAACGGCCACTATCAGTGCAATATTAAAAACCTTTTTCATCCAAGTCAAAATAACCAGCTTAGAGGCCATTCTAAAAAACTAGAGAAAGAAAAGACATCGAAAATGGTAAGAAGAAACTTCTTAGTGAATCGTGTTGTGTACTCCTGGAACGCTCTACAGGAAGAAACAATTTCCGTCGTTTCTATCAATGCATTTAAGAACAAAGTGGACTCTGAATTGAAACAGGACTTTAATAGGATGGTTCATTATGGTGTATAAACAGAAACAAACTCTCATATCAAAAGACACAATAGCTTCATCGGTTTCACCGCCTGCTATTGGTTAATTATAGAATTATAGAATTAGAATTAAAATAGCCTCCCACGGATGTGACAGCTGATAGGTTGACGCGTAAGTACAGCTCGGGAGCTCAACGCCCCGAGTAGCTCCGGGTGTCACACTCCCATACTAGAAAGCGGCTCAGTATGCACATTGGCGCGCTCTGGCGCGCTCTAGAGCACCTCAGGGGCGACACGCACTAAATTTGTACCGTTCCAGTATAATAGAAGGTTCTCGTGCCTCAGACGCTACGCTAATACGATACGGCTAACTAATACGGTATTTTAAATGGTATTTTATAGTTCTCGGACACGAAGACACAAAAATCCTCTAATCCCTTATTTTGTTTACATTAGGCAATCCAACGACCTGTCCAAATGGCGTCTGGTTGGCAAACAATAAACAAAAAAACATATGATTTTGTTTGGCAGGATTAAGCCTAGTACTCATAACAGCGATTTATGCATGAATCAAACGTCAAATTGTCGAAGCAATGTCAAAAAAGAGCGAATTTCGCGGTTATGAGTACTAGGCTTTATCAATACACGGGGTGAGTACTCAAATCTGACACTTTTCTGACATCGTTGACCCGTATTCTAACCTCATAAAAATTTCAAAATGCCGGCTGGTTGGCAAAAGTCACGTGGTTTGGATTCCCTATAACCCAACTTTTTTTTGCTTGTTTGCCAACTTTTACTTTTCCTGAAGATTCCTGAGTTTCATTAATTTTCCCTTGGTGTTTTTTATGAAGGAATTATTAGAAGTTGCTGTTCTTGCAGACGTAAATGGAGCGTAAGCTAATTTTGACATTGCATAGCCTTACGGTAAAGCACCCGCTAACTCCCGTTAGGTAGCGGACTCCGCTAACGCTATAATACCGTAAGAACTGTCATAGTTGTCAAAAAACGTCACGGTATTTTAAATTTGGACAGCACGAGAACTCTCTAATGTCGTGAGACGCCAGACGCCTGTCTTAGTGTCAAATATGTCAAATTTTAAAAATAATTACCTGTTTGTTTGTGCAGTTTGTTTTTTTATTTATCAAAAATGAAAGAGAATTAAAACTATATTTTTAAAATGTTCAATCTTGAGATATAACAAGAAATAAATAAATAAATAGCCACCCACGGATGTGACAGCTGACAGGTTGACGCGTACGTACAGCTCGGGAGCTCAACGCCCCGAGTAGCTCCGGGCGTCACACTCCCATACTAGAAAGCGGCTCTTGTCAGAGCTGCTTTCCGGTGCCTAAATTGTTAGAGTATCATGCTCCTGGAGTGTGACGCACTTGAACTGTTCCACACAAGCAGCACTGGAACGCTCCCGTCTTAACCCCCACCATTTCGGACTTCAGGGCATGAAACACCGAAATAGAGGTTAGTGCACGAGAGGGCAGGGGATAACAGAAATGAGTAGTTCAAGTGTACGACACTGGAACGGGCAAAGCACTGGAACGCGCAAAGTAATTGTGGAGCACTCCTGAGCTGCTCAGGAGTAACTCAAATGGGTCACTGGAAAGACTGGAAAGCACCTCTGATAATACCAATCAGTGTTGCCAATATGCGGGTAATTACCCGATTTGCGGGTAATTTGACTGAAAGCGGGGTAATAAAAATAATCGAAGCTTTATGTTAACTTTTACAGTTTTTGGAAATTCAGCCTTATTCACGTGTCCACTTGTTTATTGAAATTTTCCAATATTGGATATTGAGACATTTCAATATTGAAGAGATTTCTTATTCACGTGTACCCAATGAACTATAGCTAATAACTGGAATGCGCACACATTGCCATATCTGCCAAAAAAATGAAGCCATGAAAGACAGATGCCACAAGGGGGAATGTTGTTTTTTTCTGTTGCTCGCTGTCATATGACGTTTTCGAAAGTTTTGTCTTATTTCCCTTCACAGGTTTCATCGATTGGAATACGTGTTGGAAGCAATTTTCGCCATTTAACATAATGAGTGCGACAAAAACAGGTATCCCCTCCGCAGCAGCTGCACTAGGCTTCACGTTCGTCCTTATGTGTTAGCATTCCAGTTTTTGGTTATAGTTCATTGCGTGTACCCCTTGAAAACGGGATTGTTGGAAATTGGAAAACTGTTCTTTAATTGAATAAGTTAAGGCGGCAACACTGTAAAATTGACAAAAACCTTAAAAATGTAACCCCACTTTTCTATTCATTTTGTTGTTTATGAGTTTATTTATTTATTTTAGTGCCTGATTTAGCTGACTTGGATTGGAATTTAATATCTATCATTTCTTCGTCAGTTATTTGAATTTATTTGTCAATTCTCATGGGTATTGTTTGTGACTCTTTAGGTTTGTTTGTTTCTGTTGTTCAGGGCGGCCTTCATGCTTTGGGGCGTTAGTTTGTGAGCGTTTTATATGGTTTATATGCCATACAGAAATATTACAGCTTAGTTCAAGTTAGACTAGTTAGAGTGACACAAACTAACAAACCTTTTGTCATATTCATACCCACTTTTATAATGGAGGAAAAACGCACGTCAAAAATACAATAAAAATGCAATGCACTTAAAAAAATAATCACAGACTTTGGGATGCAAGATGCAATGCGGACGTTCTGCATCTGGAAGAAATTGCCCAATTTCCTCAATTAGATTAGATAGAGATACCTTGCAGGATTTTTTCAATAATTTGATTTGATTTTTTGATAGCTCATACCACTCACC